TGGTTTCCTGTTGTGCTACGGTGGAATGGAACTATCCACTTTAGTGACCAGATCCGTAGTTTGCAGTCACAGACAGAAGAAAAGTGAACCTAGAGTCCCTTGACTCCCTTCAACCCCCACTTCTCCCCCCCAGCACTGCTTTTTCGACTCGTTTCTTACACTGAAGGCACCTCTGCTGGCACCATCATGAACAGCATTCCAGTCCAGTCCCATTTCCACTCGCAAATCTGTTTTGGATAAAGGGAAGTACACTGAATTCTGAATGCGTACATGCACTTCAGTTCTTGTCATGTGTGTTGATCGCAGAGCCAAACCCAGTTTTTCAGATTAAGGGAAAGACCCCACACTGCCCACAGTGACTGGGTAAACTGGGTCTGAAATCCAGTTGCTAATTCCGAACCATTTTTGACGTCAGATTTTCCTTTCTTTTGCTTTTTTGTTTTTTTTTTGTTTTTGAATATCATCATTTCAGCTAGCCGATCACGAACGGATGGTAGGGGTGCTGGTAAGAGCAGTCACCACTAGCACTGTCGGGGAGGCTCCATCTATTAGTGGGGAGCAGCACCTGCTGGAAAGCGGGTCCAGCGTCACTGAACATTGTAGTTGTTTGTGTGAATCGACATGCAATTGTCTACAGGGCTCACTTATAAAGTTAGGCAGATAGAAGTTCATAGAACTACACATCCGCCTGTCAGTGAGTTGCTGGCGTACATACACAGATCTCCTGGCTGCTACTAGGAGAATTGGTCAGCGATTCTAAGTAATGTTCTGTACCTCCCCTTCCTCGAGCAAACATTCTGTTGTTGTTGCAGTTGTTGCAGTTGGCTGTTTAAACAGAGCTATACATGACATTGTAATGACAGTGTGCTGGAGGGACCTCCTGCAAAGTTTGAAATTTAGCGCGTAGCATTACCCAGTAGCCTGACTTGCTTGCCCCCTGGCAGCCTAAAGTGGGTGATAGTATGCTCAAAACCCATGGGTGGCTGGGACTAAGAGAATTGGAGGCAGTTTAATGTTTTACTCCATTCGCCCCTCTAACAGCCCCCTGCTGTCTCAGTCTCAGGGGCAGGTTCTATCTGTCACCCATGCTCGACTTCCAGTTCCATTGGGCAAGCCTGCGTCCCATTCCCCTAACCCCGCCCTTGTTTTGTGGCTTGTGTTGTAGCCTAACCCCGCCCTTGTTTTGTGGCTTGTGTTGTAGGATCTGTTTGCAAATAGCTGATATGCATTCTTGCCAAGGGGGGTTGGCTGACCTGGCCTGCTTTACCCATCTCCCCCAGCTAACCGTCCCATTCTGTTACCCCCCCATTCTGTCACCCATTCTGCCTGAAAGCCAGCCTCCCATTCCCCTACCCCCCCCTCCTCACTTTCCAACTGACCTTGTCCCTCGCATCCCTTTATGATTTGCTGAAGCCCTCTCTAAACCTCGTCCACCTATTTCACTCTCTGACTCAGTTGAAGTTCTCTTCATTCTCTTCATTCCGTCTCCCTGTGGAGGAGTCCCAGGAGGAAACCCTGTCTGTTGGTCTGTACTTCTCTGAAGAGTTGGTGTGGGAGTCCTGCCCTTGGCCGGCTAGCAGGTGGGTACAGGTGTGTATAGGGAACATAAGGGGGCGATGGGGGTGGAGGGTGGGAGGCGTGAATGGAGAGGGGGGAGGGCTAGCTGGGTAGGTTATCCTGGCTTTCGTTCAGAACAAGAATGAAGTTCGTTGGTTGATGGTTCACCTGGAAGTGGGATTGTGGCATGCATCCCCATTGTCTCTCTGTTGTAGGCCAGGTTGCCGTTGCAGCTCAGCCTCATGTTTGAGGCTGCACAGCCTGTTGCGGTTGTCAGTCCAAGTGATGTTGAAGTTATCAATAAAGTCTTGTTTCTTGGCAGCGTCAGGTTCACTTCTCATCCTGGACTGCAGCTCCTTATGGGCCTCCTGAGTCTTCGCTGTGATGGTGACTATTACAGCTGATCGTGACTGCATGAAACCAAAAGTATGCTGGTTCCTTTGGAATGAGCAGCGCATTCTCCAAGTCTGCATGAGGACTGTCAGCCTGGTATAGGAGAATAGGTTGAACATAAGCGTCGTCCAGGTGTTGCTATCGGGGGAGAACCCCCCAGCAGCAGGGTGCTGATACTCCAGGGCAGGTGTTCATCCCCAGAAGTAGTGCCAGGCTGCATCCCACCATCTCCATAGCTGGGAGACCATCGGGCACTCCTCTCCGGCAGACAGTCCTCAAGAGTAGCCCTCTTCCTGGGGAAGGAGTGACTACAGTATGTGCATATGGGGGATAATATCCGTTTCTCTTCCAAGTCGGTTCTTGCTGTCAGCCAGTCGGGCGTCGGCAGGCACCTGTGAACCATCTGCCACCGCAGGGCGCTATGGCTTGTTGGTTTGATGCGCGCATAGGTAGACCATTTGAGGTCCTGTAGGTCCTGTGTAGCTAGGGGGGAGTCCCTCTCCCACCACCTGTGTAATCGGGACATATTTGCGTCCCATTGTACTGCCAGAAGGGCATGGAGTGTGAGTCGCGGTCTGTTCATTCCCATTCTGTAAGATCAAATGGTAATAGGAGAAGGGGGGTGGATGGTTCGTATAAAAAGAGACCACCTTTTGGGTCTTCCACCACCTTCATTATGTCAGTGATGAGCAGAGGTATTGGGAAGGACCTGTCCAGGTCTTCGTCCCTTATTAGTTTGGACCATTGCTCGCCTAGGTTCACCGGGCAATGTGCCTGCAGCTTGGCTTGGTCAGCCCTCACGCTCTGCACTAGACTGTCATGGGAAGGGGCATGTCGTCCACCGTCATTACCGAGTCTTGTGTGTTTATTGATGGTCCTTTCCTAAGGGTGCGGATCCATGCTAGTGGAATCGCGTCATGGATCTTTTGCAGGCCTTGAGCCATGTTTTCGATTGGGCCGGTTTTTTCCTTGAGCCCTTCTGTAGTTGCCCAGTTCCCTGTCTGTGTGTCCCACGGGTCCCCAATTTTGTAGATTCCTTTTTTAACCTAGTTTAGCCATCTGGATTTGTCGTGCAAGGACAAGGGGGAGCTTTTGTGGTCCAAGATCTGAGAGTGACCAAAGACAGGTTGACGACAAATCTCCTCCCATCTTATCGGTGTGGCTAGGCATTTTGGCCCTCTTTCCCTCCACAGCTAATTGAAGGTTGTCCATAGGGGATCAATCCGGAGGTACTGTTTGGCCCTGGCTGCCGGGGGAGAATCCGTGTCCGTTTTGGGGTTGGCAAGGGTGGACCGAAAGTTGTTGGTTAGCCGTTGGAGTGGGTACACCGGGTGCTGTGGGTGGGAGGGTGGTGCCAGGCAGCCGAGTTGGATATGTTCATAGTGGGCCCACGGGATGTTGTTTCCCAACAGGAGATGAACCAGTATTTTGAATATGAGAGCCTTTATTTCTTCATCTGGGTCGATTATTCCTAGGCCTCCTCTGGATCTCGGCTGTATTATGGTGTCCCATCCCACCCTTCTTATGGCTTGAGTGTCTTCATGGTTGTTTTTCCATAGGTAGGCCGTTGTCGCTGGTTTTTTTTTTTTTTTTTTTTTTTTTTTTTTTTTTTAGTCTGGAGAGTTGCTTGCGGCCGATTTCCCAAAAGGTGGCCTTGCACTAGATGGAAGTGAAGATGGCGTTGTTAATTCCGAGCACTCTTCCCAGTAGCGAGGTGGGTTTTTTATCCCACTTTGACGTTCTGTGAACTGCCAGGTCCACAAGTGCCTCTCCGTGGTTGGTGGGCGGGCCCAGTGCCGTAATGTTCACCCCCCGGACCCTTACTGTTGTTTCTTTACTTCTCTAGGCCACCTGGGGGTCAGCTGGTGGGGGATTGCCGAAGGAATGTAGCCACCAGCCTTCGTCTTGGTGCCCCAGTTCACCTTCATGTCTGCAGCGATCTCAAATAGACAGATCGTGTGTGCAAGTGCTGTAAAACTTTTTTTTTTTTTTTTTTTTTTTTTTTTTTTTTTTTTGAGAAAACAGCCTGATTGGATGCTAGAGGTGCTGATARGAGCAGACACCGCTAGCACGCTCGGGGAGGCTCCATCTATTGGTGGGGAGGAACACCTGCTGGAAATCGGGTCCAGCGTCCCTATACACAGAAGTTTGTCGTAAAGTGTGCCATGTGTCAAAGCCTAAGGATCCTAATCAGCTGGTAAGGGGACACGTAAGCACGCAGATCTCAGCATGATGAGCAGCATCAATCACCTCTGCCCATCTCAATGTAAGAAAGTCATTATCCCTATTCAGCCGCCCTCATAATATTTTCACAAAACCTTACAGCACCATGGGGGGGGGGGTAGCCAGAATAGAGAATTTAGAGAATCTAATATATACGAATCCAACATTCTAGAAGCTGCATTAAACCACCTGGACTACCCCAAGGGCTTACCACTGTTCTTCCTATGAAGCCACGAGGTGAATTCACAACACTGCCAACTAGAATTCACCACATGGCAATCCGTCACATCCGCCGGAATCGCAGGTTATGCATACCCAAATTCGATTTATCAGTCACTTACCGGGAATAGAAGATACAAATTAAAGTGCCACCAAAGTATGAGTTCGCACCCCACCCTAAAATACTCACCACCCAACGACCATTGAGCAGCATAAGCAGAAGGGGCATTCAGAGCAGGCCTCCCTTGCGGAGCCAAGCCCGTAGTAGCCACGTGGCGAAGCCCTGATGGACCGCACAACAGAAATCAACAGCGCCACGTGGCCAGACATCCCATTTGCAGTGCATGACGCTCATATCCCGTTCGCACTCGACCAGAGCTACCCTACCAGTACCTGGCAAGTGTGATAGGACAAACCACTACCTAACCCACCCCCTCGCGAACCCACCCCACCCCTAACTGTCCCCCACACCCTTCCAATCTGCTGAGCGGACCATTCCAACAACCCCTTCGCCCACCCCCCAAATCGTCAACATGATTGCAAGGAAGAAAGGACAGTGGGGGAGAGAAGGAGGGGTAGACGAACATGGAAACCCCTACCAGACTTACCAAACCGCCGATATTGACATTCTTTATGTGGTTGCCGTTGTTGTTATTAATATCATTGTCGTTATCACTGTTGTTTTTACCGCAATCCAGCGTGCACGGGCTCAAAATTTCGTCACTCGCACCAGTGTCGTGCTTGCCGTTGTTGTTACTAATGTCATTGTCGTTGTCACTGTTGTTATTATCGCAATTCAGCGTGCACGTTGCACCAGTGTCGCGCTCGACCGTCGTAATCTTGCCGGTGCCCACAATCCCTGCGTCGTGATTGCTGCTGGTGTTGTTGTTGTTGTTATTGTTGCTGTTGTTGTTGTTGTTGACGTTGTTGTCGGACAAGCCCAAGCTGATGATCCCTATGTCTATACCCCGGACCTGCACGAACATGTTGTTGTCAATTGCATTTTTATCAGTAGCGAGGGCGATATCAACACCATTTCGACCCTCCTCCAGCTCGTCACTACCAGTGGTGCACGCGTCAGTGTAATCCTCATCTTCCGTCTCGAACAAGTGCAAGTAGAACTCCTCCTCCAGCGCCGCATACGCATCTTGCCCCTCCTCGAAGATGTCGTCGCAACACCGCTTCAGAGCCTCCAGTTGACCATCCACGAGTCCCTTCGTTTGCAGATGCTGCAGCTCCCAGACAATCTGCAACATGTTCGGCATCACTACCCGATACAGCGGATCCGATGAAGCTGCCCCCCCAACAGCCTCAGGTCTAACTCTCAATTGTGATCGCAGTGCCTCCACCATCTCCTGTAAACGAGAACGAGCTCCTTGAATGAATATGAGCCAGTCGGTGGCCCCTCGCTGCTTGTCGTCCATCGAAGCCATCTGTATACCGCGGCAGAATTCGCGCCGACGATCTCCTACGCTCCCCACCAACCCCACATCTAATGGGACTGCCACGTCAGCGTCACCGCTAACCTGAGGCAGGACGCGCAGCTCAAGCTCCCCGCGTTGACCCCCGCGGGCGCCCGATCGCATGGAAGGCAGCCGGGCCTTGCCGGCTGCGACCACGCAAAGTGTTAGTGTTCCTTAGCGCTAATTTCCGCTGCCGTGCTCCCTGCTGTAAAATTTTCTCTATTGGCCTTAAATAAGACAGTGAGGTCGTCAACAAACAATGAGGTGACGGGAAGTTGGTGGTACGGCATTTGTAGCACATCGATCTTTTGGATCTAAAGATTGGGCCTGGTCATTGTTGGCAACGCTTCCATCACTGAAACAAATAGCATGGGTTCTATCGGATTTACTTGCCTGACTGACTGTTAGAGGCGAAATGGAGGGGCAAGGTGACCGTTTAGTGTGATGTTAGTTGTGGTATTCTTGTGTAGGACGTTGCTCCATTTGCAGAAGAGTGGGCCAAAGTTCATTCTGGTCAGGCACATGTCCAGAAGTCCCAATCAACATGGCCATATGCCTTTTCACACTCTATGAATAAAATGATCGCTTCTCTCTGTCGTGTCTTGCATAACGGATTGTTTTGTCGACCAACATTATGTTGTCTTGGATGTTCTTGTACGACATGAATCCTGATTGGTCTGGATGGATGAGGTTCGGAAGCAGGGGTAACAACTTGTTTGCCCATGCCTTGGCCACAATCTTATAGGGCACCGACAACAAGGTGATAGGGCGATAATTCCTGATTTCTTCTATGTCCCCTTTCCTATATAATAGTGTTGTTACTTCTTGGCCTATCACATCAACGAAGATTTCTTCGTGAAAAATTGCATCGACGTAGGCCATAAAAGTTTCCTCGAGTGTTCCCCAAAAATGTAACAAGAGACTATTTGGGGAATGCATCCAGTCTTGGTGTTTTACCGTCGTCCATACCTTGTAGTGTTTGGATAATTTATTGTCTCAGTTGTCTGGTCATTGGTCTTTCCATCTCTGCAGTGTCGACAGTAGAGATGGAAGGGAGGCCAACAGGGTATTCCTACCATATTTTAGGACATGTGGCTGTACTTGTGATGTTTCAGATATGAACAAGTTTTGGTAATACAGGGATGCATATTCCACTATTTTATAGGCATTTGTGGCCATCGGCTGGTTACTGTCGTAAGGGTGGTTAAGGGAGGGCAAAGTGTTTTGTCTGCTTCTGGCCTTTACCTTGGCGAAGAATGTCTTAGACATCGTGCCTGTGACTCTGGCATGTACCCTCCATTTCTGTGTTTGATCATCTAGGTAGTCTTGTAAATGTTGTCTTTCAGTTTGGAGGGCATTGTAAGGGGCCTGGTCTAGTGGGTTTGACATGCGGTGTGAATCCCATTCCTCCGGTTGTAGTAGCAGCGGCGTTGTCACGCGGGGATCCCCGGGGCCCAACCTGGGGTAGGGGTTTCACCCCCGGACCCCCGC